TATGACCAGATGGGGGAGAATGATGGGGGGCTGTGAATTCAACTGCGATAAATTTTAAGAAATTTTGTAAATGCCACAATGTACCCCCAGTACAACAATAATCAAAATAAAGTATTTTAAAAAGTCACTTAGGATTTTGATTGAAATTGTATTAAATACACAAACTAATTTGAAAAAAATTGATATTTTAACAAAATTGAGTCTTAATTAATGAAAATAGAATATTTCACTATATGTAGGTCTTATTTAATGTTAACCATGTTTTATAGTTTTAAGTGTATAGTCTTAATATAGCTTGTTAAATATATCCTTTAGTTTTTGTCATATTTTTACAATGCTTATTAGTAGGATATAGCAATAACATAGGCTTTTAAAGCATATATTAATTGTACAAAGTAGTGGGTTTAATAATGACATTTTTGTACATGTAAATAAGATACTTTGATTGTATTTGTCCCCCTCCCTGATTACCCACACTTAACCTCCTCCCCCTTTTTATTCCCTAATAGACCCCATTCTACTTTCATGGTTTTTTAAAAGATTCCATATACACAAAGTATCACGTGATATTTGTCTTCCCGAGTCTCACTTATTTTACATAACATGATGGATTTTTCATACTGACCTTTTATTGATAAGCCCACTTATTAGTTTTGGTAGACGTCTTAGGATTTCAACATAGAAGAGTATGCCATTTGTAAGTGACTCTTGTTACTTCATTTCCTGACTATAAATTTTTTATTTCACTTTCTTGCTTATTGAATTGGCTAGACCTTCCAGTGGAATACTGAATAGAAATAGAGATCATTGCCTTTTTCCCCTTCTTAGAAGGATACTAGTGGGTCCTTCATCAGTAACTTGATGTTATTGCCAGCTTTAATTTGTTTTTTATAGATTCTACTTATCAGTTTGAGGAAAACTCCTCTACTACTCAGTTTGCTCAGAGTGGTTTTTTTGCCTTTAGTTCTGTTAACATGGTAAATTATATTGATTTATCTATCTCCTTTGCAGTTCTAGGATAAAATACCACTTTTTTATGACATAATTTCCTCCTTCATCATTGATGTATTTGACTTTGTAATATTTTGTTAACACATGTCCATCTATGTTTATAAAAGATATTGGTTTTATAGGTTTGTTTTTTGTGATGCCTTTGGTGTTGAGATAATTCTAGACTTATGAGTTGGGAGGTGTTCTCTTTGATTCTCTAGAGAATTTTGTGTAGGATTGATATTATTTCTTCCTTAAATGTTTGATAGAATATGTGGGTAAAGCCATCTGGATTTGGACCTGCAATTTTTGTGTAGGAAGGAAGTATGAATACAATTTATTTACCATATTTGGGAATATTTGGTTGTTCTATTTATTTTTTGAATCAAGTTAGACACTTTTTTCCTTTCAAAAGATTTTTCATTTTATCAAATTTGTCAATTGATTTGTCTTACAAGGCATATAATTTTGTTCCCTTTAATTTGAAATTTAAAAACTTTTAATTATATTTCTGGTACATAGTAGACCAGTAAAATAAGTTCTCCTATCATATAGTCTTAGTAATTATATACAGTCTTACGAATCAATCCAAAATCTTCAGAATACAGCTTGGTGCCAACAAAAAGCAATAGTGTCAATACATCTGTATTTTGACCTCGAAATGCCAAATTTTAGGAACTTACTCCAGAAATATAATTGTATATATACTTATGAACATCTAATAATATTTATCAAATGATTTTCATAATATAAAAGGGAGCAACAATGGATATTGATCAACAGAGGGTTAGCTCATAAAGAGTAAGACAGCCACATAATGGTGTATTATGTAAGGACAATGGAGGTGGGGAGGAAAGACATGGTCATACAGGCAGGTATCTTTTATATGTTGTTAAGTAAGAGAGAAAGGGTTGCAAAACAGATTTTCACAGCATTCTCTTTGAAAGAATGTGGAGATCCATGCTTAGAACATTTTTCTAAAATTACAAGGAAAACTGGTTGGATTAGGCAATTTAAGGAATCAGGAAGGAAGATTATTTCCAACTTATACCCTGAGGCACCAATTGACATTCTCAGATTTAACAGGCATAGTCAAAATGAAAATACAAACTCAGATAAATGTTTTATACGTTTTCTATCTTCTCCAGCACCAAGCAGATTTCTAATTTACATTTTTGCCAGTTATTCCAAATTGTGAATATAGTTGCCTGCAGAGGCTTCCTTCTGCTCTCCCCACTTGGAAGTGGCCCAGCTGGTACTCATAGATAAAAGTGGCTGCTAGAAACTTGCTCAAATGAATACAGATACACACATGCACAGAAGAGGGAAAACCCAAGACAGTCCATAGAGTAGAAGTGGACTTAGGGGTAGAACTTTTACACTCTCTGTAGGGTCACAGTACTAGGAGCAGGGCCCTCTGTAAAAAAAGTCATCAATCTTTCTAAGAGATTTTTAGTGGAGTTGATTAAGTCTTTAACCAAGCCCTATAGATAGACTTTTGGGGACATTGGTGCATGTTTGGAGCCAATTTTGGTGTCTCCTATTGGAGAAAGAAGCTAATGAAGGCTATGAATAGCTAGAGAACCCTGGGAAGAGCCTGGGATAGAGTCAAGAGGGTGAATTGCTTATTCTGAGACATCTTCTGGAATCCTGGACTTGAGACCTTGAAGGAAAACAGATCAGGTTTTAAGAAGTCCCTGATTGGCAAGATTTCAGGTTTTCCCATTAAACAAAAACTTTCAAAAGTTCTACAATTTAATTGGCCAAAAGTGAAGATAACTAAAAGTTTTTTTCTGTTCTCCCTAGACCGATTGCTTGGGGACTCCCTGACCATGGGCTAATTAATAAGACATACCTCAGTGACTAAGAGCCCTGGGGAAGGAAAGAGGGAGGAGGAAAGGAGAGAGAGAGAGAGAGAGAGAGAGAGAGAGAGAGAGAGAGAGAGAGAGACATGCCCTCATTTTAGCACAACATTGTTATTACCGGACTTCTTCCTAAACTCCTTCATGAAGAAAATTTTCTTCTTTGCCATGAGTGTAGGCTGCAAAGCTTGTGTGGCTCAGTACTAGCCAGACAGACGGGAGTTCACCTCAGCTGAGCCCAGAAAACATTAGAAATGGTGGTGAAGCCCTTTATAGAGGTGAGTGCCTTTTCACGGGTTCTCTGTGAAAGAGACAGTAGAAGCGATCAGGAAGGGCAATTCTGGGCCTGGCTGCCTTTTAGAACCTGGGCAACTGAAGCTTGTTGAGTGAGCTAGGGGATTAGCAGAGGGAAAGGATCAGGCCCAAATCCCTCCCACATAGCAGAGAAAACTTTTAGCTCTGTCCTGGTCCAAGGCTGGACCTAGCACAGCTTCCTGACACCAGTAGGCATTCTTCTCTATCACTTTTCTTCATCTAGTCCTGGTTATGCAGAGGATGTTGGAAAGCACATCACTGAGCTCCCCCTGTTGTTCTATCTGTCCTTGCAGTCCTAGTCCTATTATTCTTCAGTAAAATAGCTACAGAGAAATTGAGAGGGTTGTCTAGGAAGGACAATGATGAAGGAAAGTGGTAATATGAGACACAGGAAAAACTGAGGAGAATAGGACTAAGGGGCTAGGGTTACCTAGCTCTGGCCAGTACTTAACCAGGTATCATGCACCATAAGTGAATCATTTAATCAAATTTTTAATACTATTTATTTGGCTCAAGAATATTTCTCTCTATATATACACATATATGTACGTATATATATCTACACAGATGTATATTTGTATATATATTATGTACACATACATATATATTATATGTGTAACATATTTATATGAAGTATAAATACACACATACATATATATCTACACATATATAGGAAGTATAAATTTTATGTGCCAGTTTGGGATGACAGTTATGAAGAAGACATCCTTGCCTTCATGGATTTTATTTTCTTATGTCATAGATGAAACTTAAGTAAAATTAAATATCCTATACATCTTCCTTGCTTTACTTTTTTCTGTATGGCACAATAAACTAATTTCTTACATACTATATTTTCTTTTCTTGTGTGTGGTTTAGCCCCTACCTTCTCCCTGACTATAAATTCCAGACAGCAAGGATTTTCAGTTGTTCTCTTCATGGCTACATTTTGATTAATATTAAATGAAGAGGTGAGATAAACAATTAGCTATATAACCTGAGGTAATAACAAGTGCTCTGAACAAAACTGAAGTTCAATAATAAGTGTGCTTTCCTGTTTGGGGTAGGAAGATTAGAACTAGCCATTTGAAGAGATGACATTTGAGTAATGGAACAAATGAAGTGAGCCTGATGTCCCAGCTGCTGATGGCTTCCAGTTTATTCTTTGTCGGTGGCAGTTATGGTCTTTCCTTCCTTTCAGGATTTTCAAGGGAAAATGGAGCTAGAGAAGAATGGATCTGCTTTTGGAAATTGGCTCATACCTCAGAGTTCTCATGTGGAGATGTTGCTGTTCTATAATATGGAGGTTTTAAAATCTGAGGACAGCAAGAAATCTGGTTCTAGACCACAGCCTTTTCCTGCTAGCCCCCACATTGGTCTATGTGCTACCATTACTGTTGAGGGTTGGGGTTCAAAGATCTACCCTTTGACCATGCTGTGTAGTGCTTTTATGGCACAGCTAACCATGGAGGAAGTAGGATAATCCCAGGCTGTATTGACACAGCTCAATTTAGAATGCTTTAGCCTTTGACCCCTGGGAGAAGGCACTTCTAGTGGAGAAAGAATAAGGACGGTTTCCCTTACACCAGAAGACAAGAAGGTGTCCGCACCATTTCAGAGAGCTAGCTCCACAGTAAAGTGGGAAACTCAAGGTCACAGCATTTGGCTCTGGCAATGTGCAAAGTGCAGTAGCAGGGGTATTGTCACCTCATCAGGTTGGAAATAGCTCCTCATTCTAACCTTTCTTCCTTCTCTCTAGGAACAGGACCATGTGGAGCAATGCTACCTCTCTTTCAATTTCTAGGTTTCATGAGAAGCTGAAGCAAGAACTAAGTAATGGACAATAACTCTAGTGCCACTGAATTCTACCTTCTAGGCTTCCCTGGGTCCCAAGAACTACATCACGTTCTTTTTTCTATATTCTTTTTCTTCTATTCAGTATCATTACTGGGAAACATGGTCATCATCACGATTGTCTGTGTTGTTGATAAACGTCTTCAGTCCCCCATGTATTTCTTCCTTAGTCATCTCTCTGTCCTGGAAATCCTGGTCACAACCGTAATTGTCCCTGTGATACTTTGGGGGTTGTTGATCCCTGGGATGCAAACAATATCTCTGACTGGATGTGTTGTCCAACTCTTTCTGTACCTTGCTCTGGGGACCACAGAGTTTGCATTGCTTGGAGCAATGGCTGTGGACCGATACGTGGCTATTTGCAATCCTTTGAGATACACCATCATCATGAACAGTCACACCTGCATTTGGGTGGTAATTGTGTCATGGGTGTTTGGGTTTCTTTCTGAAATCTGGCCTGTCTATGCCACGTTTCAGTTTACTTTCTGCAAATCAAATCAGTTAGACCATTTTTACTGTGACCGAGGGCAATTGCTTAAACTCTCCTGTGATGATACTTTTTTCACCGAGTTTATTCTTTTTTTAATGGCTATTTTCATTATCATTGGTTCTTTGATACCTACAATTGTCTCATACACCTACATCATCTCTACCATCCTCAAGATCCCCTCAGCTGCCAGCCAGAGAAAAGCCTTCTCCACTTGTGCCTCCCACTTCACTTTTGTTGTAATTGGCTACGGCAGCTGCTTCTTCCTCTACGTGAAACCCAAGCAAACTCAGGCAGCTGAGTACAACAGGGTAGCATCCCTGCTGGTCTCCGTGGTGACCCCTTTTCTGAACCCTTTCATCTTCACCCTCTGGAATGACAAAGTCAAAGAGGCCCTTCGGGATGGAGTGAAAAGCTGCTGCAATCTCCTCATGAATTAGCTTTTCTCTAAGTTATCTACTTCCATGTCTCTATCCAACGCAGATAAAAATAATCTCATTCTCTGCTCACTAGAAACTCATAGATGTCACTTCAGCCTGTTTGTACTATTGAGCTCAAGGAAGTATGTTCTTGGGATGTAGGAGGAACGAGAGAAAGGAACAACATTTTTGTAGGAGTTTTATCAACCCAGTTACTCATAATCCATCTCTGAAAATGTATTTCCTGAGGGAGAGAGGAAGTGAGCAGGGCATAGAGCGCAAGAGGTGCCACTGTCAGAGTACAAAGGTAGAGATTCTCACTTTTCCCTCTCATCAACATTGTTAAGTCCCTGTCTATATTTTTATGAGATTTGTTGATGGCATATACATTTTAAATATCCAGAGGCTCTCTTTCTCTCTGGCTGTAGATTATATTTTCCTGCCCCAACTGCTACAGCAAAGCGAATGTAGCATTGTTTACAGTTTGCCTCAGACTCTATCTAGAGTGGTGATATGGAGTTTGGGAGGTTTTCACTTGGCAAGTCTTGGTAGTATTCAAGAGATGAAAATTTTGGGAATTCTTCAGAGAATTTCTGACTTGTGGTTGGTATAGGAGCAAAGGCAAATAAAAATTGAATAACAAATTTTACAGAGAATATCCTGTGTATTACATACTCTTAAAACAGCTATTTGTGTTCAAACTTCTCCCAGCCCCAGACTTCAACTTCATAATGCATTTTGATTCTCTGTCTCCCATATCCAACAGTCTCAGTCATCTTCCACATACATGTTCTCTCTGGGTAGAATTTAAAAAATGAGAGGCTACTCTTTTGACTCCCAGTTCCCTAGCAATTCAAGGGTTTGGCTTTTGGCAATATAATTATGGGAATTTCACATAATGTTGGAGGAAAGGTTTAGAAGGAAAGAGTTTATCTTAATGATGTCAATCAGTAAATCCTACGGTCTTGAAGAGGGAGAAGAAAGTGAACCACCCAATATTGAGGTGATGGGGCTGCTTACAGTTCCAAAGTATACTGTGTGAGGATACCTCATTGACAGTCTTATGGATGATAGGGAAAACCATCAGGCATCATTGAGTAGTTTGCCTCGCATAAATGCAAAGTGGTGAATGGGGCTTTAAATTCAGCCAGCCCTGCTCTGATAGCCAACAAAGAGTGAGATTACACTGGAGAAAGGGGAGAGTTTTACTTAAGAAAGGTGTTCCTGATTTTCAAGTACAGTTCATGAGGACTTGTCTGTTCCAACCAGAAGGAATACCATTTCTATAATTCATTAACCCAGAAAAAAAAACCTTTAACAGTTGGGAAAATTACTTAACCTCAGGGAGGTTAAGTATACACCCAAGTCTATTTAGGCATCAGCTTTATCACATCCATCAGTTTGGAACTCAGGAGTACAAAAAGTTGACATGGATGTTGGAGAGTAAGAGTTTTTATTCATTTCTGATGGGAATAAAAATATTACGGTCCAAATAGTTAGGCAGCAATTAACTTAATAAGCATGAACTGTACATACCTTATGGTCACCTTTCAAGTTTAATTTACTTGTCAACCATATTGAGTCTACTCATGAGCCCATGAAAGAATTCCTCATGCTTCACTTGTATCGTGGTTTTTATTTGCTATATTTAATTTATCTCTGATAAAATTTCTCACTTGTTTATGTTCATCATTCAATTTTTCTAAGACATCACCTAATTCTCTTACTAATTTGAAGATTTTTGTCTTTCTCTTTCAGCAATTTTACTATTGTATGTGTTATTAATTCTACTACTTTTACATTAAGTGAATATTTTCTACTACAGTGTTTTAAATCTTTGATTTTTTTCAATATATTTTTAGCAAGTGCTCCACAACTTAACTTATTAAAATCAACTTAATATTCAAATTAACAATGTCAACAATATAGGAACTTACTCCTATATAACTACATTTCCTTCCCTCGTTTGTGCTATTATTATAGCACATACATGAAAACTCAAAAACACCTTGTTATAATTGCTATTTATAACTTTTAAGGAAGCCAGGACAAGAAAAGAGAGTAAATGTATATTTCTGACATTTGCTATATTAGCCTTATTTACATTTCCTGTTTCTCTTCATTTGTTCCTCTGACTTATCATATACTGTGATTGCCTTCTTTCAAAACAGCATTGTTGCCTATTATACATTTCTATGTTTTCCACTCGATCATGTGATATATGCTTACTGTTTTAAACAGTTGCTTTTTAAAGTAATTAAAGGAAGGAAGAAGAAGAGCAGCCAGGCATGGTGAAGTCCACCTGTAATCCCAGCTCTCAGGAGGTTAAGGAAGGAGGATTGAAAGTTTGAGGTTATCTTGGGTTACATAGTGAGTTCAAGGCCAGCATGAGGTACACACCAAGACCTTGTCTCAAGAAAATGAGAGAGAGAGAGAGAGAGAGAGAGAGAGAGAGAGAGAGAGAGAGAGAGAATATAACTACATATTTAAGCTTTCTTTTGCATTTAAAACATTATTTTTATCATTGCTCTCTGTGTCATTTGTATGGACTCTAATTACTGTCTGAGGTTACTTCCTTTCAATTTGAAGAGCTTCCTTTAGTAGTTCTTATAAGTTTGTTCTGTTTAGTTGTCTGGCATGTTTTTCTTTTGCCTTAGTTTTTTCTTCTTTTTTTTTTTTTGGCAGTACTGGGATTTGAATTCAGGGCCTCAGAGTGCTTGGTAGGCAGGCACTCTACCATTTGAACTACTCCACCAGCCCTGATTTGTGTTGGGAGTTTTTGGGATAGGGTCTCTCAAACTATTTGTCTGTGCTAGCTTTGAACCTCTGTCCTCCTGATCTCTGCCTCCCCAGTAGCTGGGGTTACAGGTGTGTGCCACCACACCTGGCTTATTGACTGGCAAAGGGGTGGCAAAGCACAATCCTCCCAATCTCAGCCTCCTGAGTATCTGGGATTACATACATGTGCAACCAGGCCCGGCTTTTCTCCAAAATTTTTAAATGTATCTCTCCTGTCTTCTGGCCATCCTATTACTTAGTGGTTATCCATATTTCTCTGAGTTTTTTTTTCCTTTCTTTTTTTCTCAGTGTGTGGTCTTTGTTGTTTGGCTAGAGTAATTCCTTTTGATATAGCTTCAAGTTTATTAATTCCTTCTCTGTCAGTTAAAATATACTGTTGGGCTCCTCTAGTTAAGTGTTTATTTCACTTATTGTACACTTAGACTCTAGAATTTCCATTTATAATTTTGATATTTTTGTATATATTTTCTATGCAGAGAAACATTGCCAGCATATTTTCTTTTACTTCTTGAGCATTGCTTCTTTAATTCTTTGAATGTATTTATAATGTCTATTTTAAAGTTAAATGTCAAATGTGACATTTATTCTCTCTCACATGCAGTTTCTGTCATCTGCTTTTCCTCCTGTATATGGGTCACACTTTCCTGTTTCTTTACACACATTATAATTTTTGTTGAAAAGTAGACATTTTAGATTCTGAAACTTGATACCCATCCTGAGGGGCTTTTTTAGTAGTATTCTTGTCAGTTTGACTAATGTCCTGGATAGACTATTTTAGTGACATCTATTTTCCCGGCCCCAGGTACCCTACAGTATGGCTCAACAGAGTGCAGGCTTAGACATGCATGCTGTACCCTGAAATGACAGTGGTTTAAATAAAGTCTCTTGATTATCACTGAGAACACCCAACTGTAAGGCTTCACTAATTACCAGCTGATTGTTCTATTATCCTTTATGATGTCCTAGGGAATACATTGCCTCACAAACCGATCCAATTAAGTTTGGATTCATTTTCAGAGTTGGTTTTGAGGTCAGAATTAGTTATCTCTTCTTCTAGTTCTCTAAACTATCTGACCTATAACATCTCTCTCTCTCTCTCTCTCTCTCTCTCTCTCTCTCTCTCTCTCTTTCTCTCCCTCTCTCTATCTTTCTTTCTCTTTCTCAGTATTGGAGTTTGGACTTAGGACCTTGTGCTTACCAAGCAGGTGTTTTATCACTTGAGCCACTCTGCCAGCCCTATATTTTGTATCTCTTAAGAATTTGTCAGCTTCCCTGTTTGCCCTTCACTAAAAGAGTGAAGAGTGCTCTTTGTTTTAAACTTTCCCACACTCTGTTACAAATAAAGTCAATTTTTCAGAGCATTTTGTTTTATGACTTGGTTTTCCTACTGAGCAAAATATCTGAGCTATATCTAGAACTGATAGTGAGGTCAGTTGTACAATTTTATGTTAGACACTTATAATTCAATTGTAGAATGCTAGGTAGGGAAGTGGCATTTGAACAGCTTGGCTCATCTCTTTTGGTATGAAAATTCTATCCTATGGATGAGAATGATTGTGGTCCTATACCCTCAATGTGCTGCTCCTCACATAGAGCTTCTGCCTGATGAGTGAGGACTAGGTAGAAGCAGGGAGCCTCTGACCTCATGTTTTCCTTCCTCTGCAAATTAGCTTCTGCAATATGTAGCTAGGGAAAGAAAGAGAAAAGCAGACTACATACTGGTTCTGGGAAGATACCATAGTTTTCAGCTGGAAGCTGGGGAAAAGAAAGCCAATGTTCCCAGCTACACATCCTCTAGAGTGGATTTTCAATTACATAGAGCTGAGAAGAGGGAGGAAGAGAGCGGGTCATGGAGCTAATGTAACAAACTCACACTGTTCTTACCAAGTTTTGGTAGATTTTCTTAAATAAATGTTTATTCACTTACTGTATGCTCTGAGTACAACTTCAAGAGACTCTAAATGTTTTTCTTAAATTATAATTTTAATAATCATCCTTGTTTAACTAGCTAGTCTTTAGGGCTCCATTCTCAATCATAGCTGCTTAAAAGTCACTCACTGATAGTTCCAATATCTGAATCAACTCTGTATTGAGCTCCATTGCTTTCTGTCTCGAAAATGGGTTGTTTTGCTTTTCCTTCTTTTTTAAAAATTTGAATGATATTTTTACAAAAGTTAAATTCTATACCTTGTACATATGACAGTCAAATCTGTAGTAGACAA